TGGTTGACGTGGCCCCGAGAGCGGCAGCAAGAGAGGGGGGGGGGAGGGGTAAGGAGAGGGGGGGGGGAGGGCGCACTGGTTGGCTGACGTGCCGCGTGCCGCGGGTCCGCGGAGTCGTTCTTCCGAGTCGTCAGGCTTTGCCCCGAGGGGAGGCGCTTGAGGCTCTGGCGGAGGGCCTGTGGGTCGGGGGAGGGTCACGGGCTTGGGCGGCGCTCTCGTTGTGCCCTCTCTGAGAGAGGAGAGGGAGACAGAGAGGGAGGGGCGGCTGCCTCTAGGGAGGCTGGGCCAAAGAAGAAGCAGGCGCCGCAAACGACTGCGAGCACGAGCGCGGTGCCTATTCAGCAGCAGCGCAGCGCGGGGCCTCTGCAGGGCGGGGAGGAGCGCGGACGAGGCGCGCGAGTGCGAGTCGTGGACACCGAAGACGGCGGACAAACGAAAAAGGACGACAAACGCAAACGCAAGAAGGCTGATCTCCTCCGCCGCCGGGACCAGCGGCGGCGGGGGGGCAGGCGGGGATCGCCGCGGGGGGGGGGGAGTTGGCGGCCGCATCTGGGGCGGCGGCGGAGGCAGCGGCGGCGGAGGCAGCGGCGGCGGAGGCGGAGGTGGCGAAGGCGGCGGCGGCGGAGAGGGCGGCGGCGGCGGCGGCTTGGGTGGTGAGGGCGGCGGCCTTGGCGGCAAGGGTGGAGGCGCCGGTGGGTAGGGCGGTTGCGGCGGGTAGGGGACGATCCGGCCATTGATCGCGTCCGTCCGCTCGCAGACCGTCGTCTCGCGGCACTCTTCGGGCAGGTCGTTTGGGAGGGGGCAGTCAAAGTAGTTGCCCTCGGTGCCGGGCTCCTGTACCGTTACAGGGGGGGGGGGAGCTCTCGGCGCCGGCACTCTTTCGGGCTCGATCTCAGCTCGATCTCGGCTCGATCTCAGCTCGATCTCAGCTCGATCTCGGCGCATCTCGGCGCATCTCGGCGCATCTCGGCGCACCCAGTGAGGCCACAGCACGTTTGGCCGCCCGTCGGGCCCCCTGCCCTTGTCCCACGGGTCGATTGGCCACGGGCCATCGCTGGGGCCGTCGCGCATCGGCCCGCCGAAGTAGCCCTTCCACCAGAAGCCCATCCACTCCATGCCGCCCTCCTCGATCGTCTTGGTCTTGCCTGCGCGCAAGGGGGGTGGGGGGGGGGGGTGTGGGGGGGAGGGGGGGGGGGGGGGATCCCGGGGACCATCTCCGCGGCTGGTGGCCCCGCGCAAATAAAGGTATCGTTGAAAGGGGCCCGGTGCCAGGCGCACCCCTTCTAGGATCAACGACCTTTTCCCCCCCCC